TTTATATAATTTTTTTTATGGTGTCCATATGACAATTGAATTTACAAATTTGCAGTGGATTCGAAGTGGCGTCCTTGATGGTGTATGGACATAAGAATAAATAGACTGAGTAAAACTGACAATTAAATACTTTACTCTGTATTCGCTTTCTCTTGAGACCCTGCAAAGACTGGGAGGGCTGTCACAAATTAATTCATTTGCGCAAATTTATTGTGCAAGGTCTGACTAGATAAGATGTTAAACAGAAGCGAGTTGCCAGCGCATTAATAGTTTTAAATAATAAATCCACGAGAATGTTAGTTTTACCTGGATATTTATTCTTACGGTATGACTATCAATGTGCATGATAAGTTTACTTAAGTACTTTTAAAGCTTAATCGTGATCGTGTATGGCCATCTTTAAATATATTTCAAACTATAGATATTTTTTTTTTTAGATAGATTAAATGATATTTTCAATTTATTCTAGAGTCCTCGTTATCATAAACTCAATGATGATCACAAATAAATAGAAAATTGATTGTCAAATGACATGTTGATGTATAAATAAATAATAAACTTCAAACGAATTACTTCTCAACTTGAACAATATTTGAACGCTTTACTTTTGCAAGAATCGATCTGATTATGTCTGGATTTGTTGGATTGCTGTCCAATAGATGGCGCAGGTAGTCATAAGCCACTCTAGACGAATGTATATCGACCAAATAGGCGATATTGTGGAGAAAGGTAAAAAGTCCTTATAAACGGCGAGTTTGCATGAATAAATTGGTGAATATATAGGAGGCAAAAGAGATATGTTGGAATTGCAGGATTTATGCTTTGTTTACAATATATACGATACAGTTTGTTTTATTTGTATTATACACACGTAGGGAGTAAGCAATAAAACATAAGGCCGCTGTATTGCTAAAAGTGACTTTTAAGGCAACTTTCAAGATACAAAACAGAAAAAAGGGATATAGTGGAGAGAAAACATTTTTTATAAATGCTAACCTTTCGTCATTCTCTCCACCACCAGTCATTTTCCCCATTCCGTATAATATTTGCACATAATTGAAAGATCCATAGACAAGAATTTAGTTAATATTGTTTAGCAAGTCGTATCGTAGTCGAAGGCCATGCAATGACGATTCTATAATATTTATATTAGCATATATATATTTGTAGGAACCTGAAAATAACCATACAAATAGGTAAATACGATTACAAGTTTATTATTATTGTAAGAAGTAAGACATGTGTATTGGATATGTAATTATTTTAAAAGATATTTTAATGTAATACAAATACATTATATATTCCACTATATTTCTTTGTTCTCATTCAATAATAATGCTTCTTCCTTCTTATCTCTTCTATTTTCAATTTTGGAGTTACAAAGACTCATTTTAATTGAATGTTAAAAAATTTTCCTTGGTTCAATCTTAACATCTCGTTATTTTTGTAAAAATAACAGTTACATCATTATTTGTTTCACCCGTAAACTCTAAAGGATCTTACTTCGACTCTGTCAAAGTTTTAGAGCGACAGCAAGATCAAAGAAAACAAGGACCAACTATGGTGCTAAAAGTGCTATGCACAAAAAATGTATACATAATTAACTGTTGCTGGGATTGGCTAAGATAGATCTGCATGTAAAAATTTAACAATATAACTGGAGCACCGACTAAATAACAGATATTAATGAAAAAAAAATGTGATTTTCTCTGTTATATTTTATGGGAATGCTATATTTTAACTTAATAAAGGTATGAATGCAATACATACTATTATGAAATAACAAGTAGCTCTTTAATTAATAACAGACAATTAAAGAACTCAAAGCCATCGAACCCGATTCTGAGGCATCATGTCTCTAATTCTATCTCTTAATGTTTTAATTTGATAATATCGTCAAATTACTGTCTTATGTCTTCCATGAATGAATTCGTGTGGTCCCGGCATAGAATAGGCCACCCCTTCCATCCAATGGATGCCGTAAGAGGCGACTAAGGGCGGGCGACTTAACTGGACATATGCCAATAAGGCACATACTACACAAGATGGGTCTATCTTCGGACACACTGTGCAGACTGTGCGGGGAGAAATCGGAATCCATGGAACACTTGATGTGCAACTGCGATTCGTTGGCAAGTATGCATATGAGTGTACTGGGAACGGCTTATCCAGAACCAGGGGACTACAGATATCTTAAACCGCGAGATATCGTCAAGGTAACACAAAGGATCTATGAAATGATGGTATAAAGCAGGGGGAAGCACAAAAGATCTCAATGGGTCGACGTGCAACAGCTTAGTTGACCCCATATGCGAATATAAGATAAGGGCGGGCGAGGAATAGACAGCAGCGTCCTTCTTAAAACATCTCCAAAGCCTAACTGCGTTTGCCAATTCATCTGTCAAGCGTGGCAACTACTGGCAAAAACCCAAGTGGGAGTCTTATGTTCAGCAGTGGACAGTTAAAGGGTGATACGGTGACTGTCTTATGTACCATCATAAACTAAAATTACAATAATTTTAACTTACAATAAAGATTTTTATCAAATATTAATATTAAAAGGTAAATTTAGAGAAATGACGCTTTAGAATCGGCTCCAGTAGCTGCATACATTCCATTTACACGATTAGAAAGAGACGGTAAATAATATTAAATGGAATAATACATTTATACTTAAATTAACGCTGGATTGTAAATTGAGACCAATAGAATGGAAGTGAAACAGAAATAGGTTATATTTATTGGAGGTTATATCATTGCATTTTATTTTATGTAACATACAATTATACACAAGTTATAAGTCGCTGTACGTTTTATAATCTATGCATGTAATAGTGAAAACTTAATAATTAATTATATTAATGAGCCCATATTTGTGTTTGATAAAAATTCATAATCATACCCCGTTTAAGAGCATTCGTACCGACGCTTGCCGAGGTCTACCGAAACTTACCGAAGTGTGACAATGTCCCAAAATGTCAATTTATAAAAATACTTAAACAAATTTTAATATTTCTGATTGATTGATTGATTATATATCAAAGAATATGTTGCATATAAATTTACGTTATCATCATTATCCATCCATGGCTGAACATGGCCCCACCCATAGATTACCATAACGAAAATTTACCAGAGGGAGACTTTGTACAAAAGCCGTTTGCTTGGGTACCTCTATCTCATTCGTGTTTCATCCGTGAAGCAGTTGTGTTTCAGTTTGAAGGGCGGGATGTGGCAGTGAATTTACAGTGTACAGAGGAATAACACCTGAGTCCTCAGGAATGGCAACGCATGGGGGGTATCATGGGCGAAACAGTATACTCTGTTATGTCCATGGTACTGCTCACGTCTATAGGCGACGGTTACCAATTTCCATCAGGTGGGCCGTCAGCTTGTTTGCCATTCTAAGTTGTATAAAAAAAAAGAACAATCCTGAGTGACCTGTATCCACTGACTTCCTGCATAAATCTATACTATCTAATCACTAATAAAAATTTTGCATCTAATTCATATTCCTTCGAAATGGCAACACATGAAAGGCATTATGGGCGATACAGTGTACTCTGTTATGTCTAAGGTACTGCTCATGTGTATAGCCGACATTTACCACTTTCCATTAGGTAAGCCGTCAGCTTGTTTGCAATTCTAAGTTGCATAGTAAAAATTTTGCGTCACTGTCACACTTTGGACATGTTACACAATTTGATATACATTTGATAGTATGAATGCTCTTAAGACCTTTACATGACAACTGATACTGTCGAGTCCTATATTAGTAAGTACATTTACTTATTTAAAAGTCGTAGCAAAGTTTGGTGACGAAACAGGGCATTATATATATATATATATATATATATATATATATATATATATATATATATATATATATATATATATATATATATATATATATATATTCTCTCCTACCCTTATTCCAATTATTATTTGGGGTCGACGTAATGTTTTTTATCCATATTGCAGAAAGATTTGCCTTATAGTTTTACAACTGGCCGCCTGCCTGACCTCAACACTCTTTGGGATATATATATATATATATATATATATATATATATATATCATAAACATTTGAGCACAGTAAATATTAGAATATATTGTAAATTAATTTAGAGGTAAAATAATAGTTAATTATTAATCTCTTTCTCATACTTAGCATCTTTGGTAGACAATCTTGTCATATATTTTTATCAACAACAATTCTTACATGTGGGTTACAGAATACTAACTGTATTCTGCGACGCATACTATTTTCTAAGTACGGATATATGTATGAAATCTCATTCAAATCCATACAGTAGATTTTGCCTAAAAAGAGTAACAAATATCCATCCATAATTACAAACTGTCACATCTATATATATATATATATATATATATATATATATATATATATATATATATATATATACACATATAAGAGGATGCTTTTGCACATTTTTTTAAATATTATTTCCAATAAAAAATAAAAAAGATATACCAAGATTGTTTACTAAATAAGTAATATATACGTAATAATAATAATACGTGCGCAGCGACCTTCCAATATCCCTTGTAGAGGCTTGGGGCACCTAGGGAGGCACACTTTGAAAAACACCGAACTAAATCATTCGTGAATTACACAATTCTGAACATCACATAAGGACACACATCTATGTTTATATAATTTTGAATTTTTTGTATATAAAAATGTATTACAAATGTTGTATATAATATAATATGTATTCTAGCAAAGTTGCCCAAATATCAAGTAACAATATTGATTTAAGACATCCAAATAGCTCTGCGTCTTTCCACCAACCGGTAGATGACGTTGATTAGGAATTCTATATTTTGTATCGATTTTATATGTCCATTAGAATTTTTATCTCAATTTTCGTGCTAATCAATAAAATATAATTATAAAATAAAGTTTAAATATAAATAATTAGCTACCTAAAAATAGTTAACAAATTTAATTTAGTAAAATTGTAAATAAAAGAGAAATATTCAATAAAAGATCAGTCCTGAGGTATAATTGGAATCAAATTTATCTAACGACGTTAAAATGTCAATTGAATGCTTCGAAATATTTTACTATTAGTAATATTTAAAAGTACATGCCGTTACATTTTACCACTGTTTCGTCTACCATACAATACTAGACTTCATACTGAATAATTGACCCTAAAGATATACGATATACCATAATATAACTAAATATATACAATAGTATAGTTCTGATAGAACAATTTAGATAAATATTCTAACATAGTACTTAATACAACAACGCTACCATTTTAGTAGATTTGTTTCACATACTGGCAACATTTTGACGAACTGTCAAAGTAAAAGGTTTGATAGAGAGCCGATATGATTAACGTTACCTATTAGTGTTGCCAGTTCTTGAAGTTGTTCCCCATAAAATGTTGGCGTGTTGCGATAACGTATTACCGAATCGCTTGAAGCGCTTTAATTCCGACGGTGATACTTAGTCGCCGGTGTCCACCCAGGTTGCTTCCTCCGCTATTCGATCCATGCAGTTGCATAGGAATTGGTACTGCAATGCAAATATATTTCTTATTACAATTATTTGTATATGTGCATTAAATTTATGAATGAATGAGAGTATATTTATATTATACAATATAGGGAATAAGCAAGGTAATTAATAAATGTAACGATACGGTGTTTTAAGCATACTAAGAACTTAAATTTTTAATTTTTGTACATATATCTTAGATATTCATCTTAGGTATTGAATTTACACATTTGTCCCAAATATTGGATTCATGCACCTGTTTTATGCATTAAGCTCATATAACCACTTCATGTATTGAATTTACAGAATCTTCTAGAGCATTGGACTTACACATCCATACAATTTAGGGAACTTACATATCCGTATTGCGTCCGAGTTGAACTCGTCATTAGTCCTGTACATTAAAGTAATATGTCTGTCTCCTACATTGAACCGTCATGTGTAAATTATGTACTTAGCTTTTTTTTTAATAGATGATAATGGAATGGTAACCCCGCCTATATATTAACGGTACACTGGCGGGGTAGCAGTGAAGGATGTCAGGTGAGAATGAAAAAGCAGGTCAGTTAGTCAATCGTGATAAATACACTTGAGTTTCAGCACGATGGTTTCCGGGGGGGAGTACATGGAGGCGGATGAGATAGGATATGTTGGGAGACAAGGGATTGTTAGTAATGGGGTCAAATAGCCCTATTACTAGCAATATATTCTGTCAGGTCGAACTCCACGTGGTTTCCCCTGAAAACCGTCGTGGCTAATTCTAGTTGAATTCATCAGGATGGGCTAACTGATCTGCTTTCATCCTCATCAGTCACCTACCTCTGGTGTTCTGGGGGGAAAGGGATTGTTAGTAATGGAGACTTAGAATCACCATTGCTAGCAATATACCCAACCAGGTCGACCTCGCGGTTCTCCCTGGAAACTATCATGGTTAATTCCTGATGAATTCATCATGATGGGCTAACTGGCCTGTTTTCATTCACATCAATCACCCTTCACTGGTGCTCCGCTAGCGTATCCCGTTACCAGACGGGGTTACCATACCACTTTCACCCATAAAAAAAATCACTTGTACTTTACCATACCATTATCACCCATTAAAAAACAAATACTGTATATTGTTAGCAACGGGAGCGGTAGTGCTGTATTAGGGACAGTCCCTGGCGCCGTATGTGATGAGTGATGAGTGGCGAGTACATACGTATGGCGTGTAGAGCAGCAGGTCGTGGCGTCCGTAGGCGAGGCGCAGCGCGGCCGCGTCGTCGTCCACGCGCCACTCGCGCACCGCGCGCCAGCGCACCTCCTCTGCGGCGGCGGCGGTGGTGGTGTCCTGGTCGCCGCACGGACGCAGCGTGAGGCCGGGCCAGGCGACGGTGAGCGCGAGCGCGGGCGCGGCGCGGCAGTCGGTGCGCGCGGGCGGGAAGGCGAGCGCGCCGTAGCCGGGCAGCGAGCGCGCCAGCGCCAGGTAGTCGGCCGCGCGCCGCACCTCCTGCAGCGCCTTCAGCTGGTACAGCCGCGCGCCCGCCACGCACACGCCGCGGTTCACGTCCTCCACCGCCTGCGCGCACAGTCATTCGCATTCACACGCCACCACGCCACCACACCGTTCACATTCTAGAAGCGTTGCCCTGTAGGGCAATGCTTCCCGTGTGGTTTTTTTTTTTATACTACTTAGAATGGCAAACAAGCTGACGGCCCACCTGATGGGAAATGGTAAACGTCAACTATAGACATGAGCAGTACCACGGACGTAACAGAGTATACTGTTTCGCCCATGATACCCTTCATGCGTTGCCATTCCTGAGGATTCAAGTGTTATTCCTCTGTACCCAATAAATTCACGCCATATTCCACCCTTCAAACTGAAACACAGCCATGCAAACACAGCTGCTTCGCGGTTGAAACGCGAATGGAACAGAGGTACCCAAGCAATCGATTTTTGCACAAAGTCTCCCTCTGGTGTGATTCTGCTGTCCTAGTACTTTATAAGAAATCATATGGACGTTAAAACAACCAAACAAATGATAACTACACTCTGCAGAAAATCACAAGCTCTATATAATAATAGTTAACACCTTCTACATAGTTCTACTCTCCTAGTACTTTATGAGAAATCATAGGAATCTTGAAAACGACATTACATCATGTTTCACAACTTCTGTAAGGTTTTACTCTCCTAGTACTTTTTGAGGAAAGATCGCGCAAATAGAAACAGTACGACCGCATACTTGAAAATATCCTGTATGTATTTCTAGTACTAAGATAGAAAAAATAAAAGTGTACTTTTACCCATTCTGCATGCGTTTTCTAACCATTATAAAAATGCACTATTCCATGTAATCAATTATAATGATAACAAAGACATGTAAAATAATAATATAACATGTAAAAAACATGTAAAAATAAGAAATAAAGCTATTCTACACACCTCAGAATACGATCTCTAAACAGGTAAAAAAAAAACCTGTACGACTAATGTTCACATGAGCCCAGTGACCAATTTGCCTATAAGAGATAAATCTAGGAAATAATAATAAATTACTTCTTATGGATTTCTGCTTTCCTAGTATTTTTATAATTAGGCTATTTTAAAAACTCGCGGAATTAGCACAACTTCGTTGGTTCCTTTTTCGAATATGCTTTTTTTTTTAAATTTCGAATTCTCACTTTTAATCAAGTTGTAAAAGTAACAATTCTTGTACAAAATATTTCTGATTGCTTTATAATAGTTATTGACAGATTTTTAGCGAGCGATGTAAAGCATGAAAATGTACAATTTTAAGGATTTTTTCCTAATTTGTTACATCCTATAATTAAAAAAAAAAACAGTTCAAACTTAAATATAACTATAAGTTTTGTTCATACTATCGCTAAATCAGCTTCAAGCCTATACTGTATAGGTGAATGACCTACTTGTCTATCTCGCTCTAACACATATGTTATTATGTTTTGTTCTCTTTCACATAACTCTAAGATGTAATTAAACACAGCACTAGGACACTTACCTGCCAGAATATGAAGGCAGCCGCCTTACTGTCCTCCTTGACGATGGATATCTCTCTATCAGGGTTGAACAGCCACTTGCGTATCGACAGACAGCTGCTGGACGCCGTCGAGTAGTTCTGTATGTACAGCGAGTGTGGACATTCGTTCGGTTGGAGTTTACGTTCTGAAATAATATAATTATTATTATTTAGAATATTCTTCTCAGCAGATAAAAAGATTATAGACTTCTAGGTATATAATGTTCTCTCTGGATCTACTCCTGTAGAATAGAAGCTGGCATCCAAAAAACTCGGTGTGCTCAATAGAGCGAAGCATTACTTCACACTGGATCAGCGATTAATGCTCTACAAATCGCAAATCCGGTCCCACATGGAGCATTGCTATCACTTATGGGCCGGAGCACCTAAATACCAGCTTGAACCTTTCGACTCGTTGCAACGACGAGCTATGAAAATTGTCGATGATCCCAGGCTCACAAGCGGTATCGAACTTAAGTCTTAGGAGAGATTTTGCCTCACTCTGTATCTTCTACCGCCTGTACAATGGATTGTGCTCAGAGGAATTGTTCAATATGATGCCCACAGCCACTTTCTTCCATCGTACGGCTCGCCATCGACAGGGAGATTATCCTCATGTCCTACAGTCTCAATGGTCGCGTACTGCGCTGTTTCAGAGATGTTTCCTCCCACGAATACTCAGGTTGTGGAATGAGCTCCCTGCCGAGATTTTCCCAAGGAGACTACAGCATGGGGTTCTTCAAAAAGGGGGTAAAGAGGTTTCTTCAGGGTCGGCGTCGCACGCGTAATGCCTCTGCAAGTGTTCATAGGCTACGGTAACCACTTACCATCAGGTGGGCCGTATGCTTGTTTGCCACCTCAGTGGTATAAAAAAATAATATAATTGTAAGATTATGTGTTACAAAAAAAAAATCCAAAACACGTTCTTTTTTTTTAAATCAAACTATTGAATTAATTTTGTTAGAACTTCTGTGTAATCAATCTCGTAAGTATATCTTCCTTTCAGAGAAAATAATTCTAAATCTGTTTAAGACTGCGGAGTTATGAGGTAACAAACATACAGAAAAAATACTAAAATAAAATAATAATATATATTTAGGATTTGCCAGTAGTCGTCACGCTTGGCTAGAGTTGGTAACCGCAGTTAGACTTCGGTAAGATTTAAAGAGGTACACTGCTGCCCATCCCTTGCCCTCCCTTAGTCGCCTCTTACAACACCCACGTGAAAGGAAGCGGTGGCTTATTCTATGCCGGGACCACACGGCAAATATTGTACTATACTAATAAGTATATTATTTAAAATCCACCATCAATTCATGTTATATATATGTAATAAAATGTTAATTGAATAAATATAAAATATTTTTAATAATTCTCTTTAATAGTTTCTTATAAATACGAATCACTAAAAACGAACTATGTAGAAATATATTATTCTATATGTATGTATTGTATGTTCATTTATCTAAAAATGTATTAATGTTATTATCTCTCAAAATATATATATTTTCTTCATTTTTTATACAACTTAGAATGGCAAACAAGCTGACGGCCCACCTGATGGAAAGTGGTAACCGTCGCCTATAGACCATGAGCGGTAATATGGACTTAACAGAGTGTACTGTTTCGCCCATGATACCCCCCATGCGTTGCCATTCCTGAGGACTCAGGTATTATTCCTCTGTACCCTGTAAATTCACGCCATATCCCACCCTTGAACCGTGACACCAAAACCAAATCAAACACAGCCATGCAAACACAACTGCTTCACGGTAGAAACACGAATGGGACAGAGGTACCCAAGCAATCGACTTTTGTACAAAGTCTCCCTCTGGTAAAAAATAATAATTTACAATTTGTTTTTGTTAAATCAATGCACCGCCAATTGCTTTCTCTGTTTATCGTAACGGTTGACTTGTAGAGAATGCCATCAGGCATTAAGTCCACCTTGTAGACATATTTTAATGTGTGTAAAAGTATAAATAAATGAAGAATGATTGAATAAATGACTGACTGACTGACTGAATGAATGAATAAATAAATCGCTCACCAAAATTGTACTCCACGATCTCAAACAGGTAGAAATACTTCTGGACAGACTTCGAGAGGCCTATCTTCTCGCAGACGGCCCTGTACACGTCGTCCGCGTTGGTCGACTTCAGCACGGAGACCGTGACCACCTCCTTGTCTGGTAGCAGCACCTTCAGGTCCACCGGTGAGGGGTTGGACGAGTCGTCCGAGTCTGTGAGGAACTCTTGCACCGCTTCCGATTCTGCTATCACTCGGACTGCACACACCTGGAAAATATATATATATATATATATATATATATATTTTTCTCAAACATGCTTGGAAATGTGAGCATTATTTTGATAATCTTCTTAGAGATAAATCAAAATTGCCGTACTGGCCAGATAAAGATGCCAGATGCCTCGGCTACGCCTCGACCCACATTTGCACGTTCGTCCATCAATGCCTCAGTTGCTGGCCGCTGCAGTAATGTACTATTTTTAATTTCATGATTAATTTGAATTTTGTTTTTGCACATCTATTTAAGATAAAGGGGAAGAGTCATATTTTTATAGTGTTTGTCGTTGTTTGTTGTTAGTTTTTATGTCATTCTAACTTTCAAAAAATATATTAGATATTTAAAAAAGCAGGGAGTCAGAGGTGTGTCCACTATCTGTTTTCTTAATATAGTTCTTCAAAAGGGGGGTAAAGAGGTTTCTTCAAGGTCGGCAAAGCACGCGTAATACCTCTGGTATTGCAGGCGTTCATAGGCTACGGTAACCACTTACCATCAGGTGGGCCGTATGCTTGTTTGCCACCTCAGTGGTATAAAAAAAAATATAATTTCATGGCAAAGCATTTTCATATGCATACAAGAAGGATAAGCAAGCTGAAGTGGCAATGGGCTGGTCACATAGTTCGAAGAACCGACAACCGATAAGCAAGAAAGATTCTTGAGTGGCAAAACTCAATATGAGCAAACGCAGTGTAGGACTAAAAAGTAGATGGAGTGATGACCTCAAATGCGTTACAGAGAGTCAGTGGAAGCAGATGGCTCATGACTATTCCTTAAGGCAGTTTCTGGAGAAGGCCTATGCCCAACAATGGGCAGATAATGGCCGAAAAATGTCGTAATAAGAGCAATAAGAATCAGAATATTATTTTTAAGTTTTTTTTTTCATGTTTATTTCAGTAAAAAATACTAAACTGGATATGGGTTTCAGTTGTAGTCCTGAAAGTTTAAATTAAAATCTGGTGTATGTTTCATCTACAAATGCCGTCTAGAAATGGTGGTCCGCTTCCAAAATCATCGTGTAAGAAGTCGCGGGAAATGCCAGTATTAAATAAATTACAGTTTCACCATCTTCCTGCCCCTTAGTCCTACCCCATCTTCTTACCCCAATTATTATTTGGGGTCGGTGTAATATGTTTTTATCCATATTACAAAAAGATTTGGCCTATAGTTTTACGGGCGGCCGCCTGCCTGACGTCATCCCTCTTTGGGAATAATAATGTTTGGAAATAAATTACAGAAGTGCAGTATACGCAAAGTAGTGTATATATACCAGCTAACGCTGAGTAATAAAGTTTACATAAAAATAATAATAATATATTATAATAATAATAATTATAATAATGTTATTGCCATTTTTCACAAACATACAGAAATTATAATGCACATATATTAATTAATAAATACAGTGTGCAGTATTCGTATACCTGGCAATAGGTACAAACTCAGCTTTTGCTGGACTAATGTTCGTTCAGCGCTGATTTTCAGTTTGCACCTACACGGGGCACCGTTTCATTATCAAATATTTATACATATTGACGTAGATGTTACACAAAAAGTAAAAAAAAAAAAAACGAAAATTCAAATAAATAAGTATAAAAATAATGAATAAAAGAAAAAAAAAACAACAAAAATCCAGTGTACCTTTTCTAAATACAGTTCAAGTCCTCTCCGCCTCGAGTCCAGCTGTTGCTCGCTCAGGTTGAACGGCCACTTGCCTGGCAGCTTTGGAAAGTTGAATCCTATAAAAAGAAAACAACAAATTATGATATTTGATGTTTTTGTGCATTATAGGTTTTTGTATTTTAAATAGGTAAAAATTATTAATTCACTCTCGCGCCACCTGCCCACTTCTATATGTTCTCCTTTAACCAAAGGTTGTCTGTAAGAGATTGTCCTAGCGGAAAGACCGCCTTTTATACCTTTATATGTATATTTTAATCTGCACTTCATGCTACTGTATTTCAGTTGAATTTCAGTTTATATTTAATTTGTGTCCATTGTGAACGAATTTGGAAAATTCTTTTTTTATTTGAAAGTATATAGTTACTTCTTTTTAAATATATCAAAATTAAATTTTATCAAAATCGGTTCAGTTTCAATTTAGTTTTTAAATCAAAATACTAGTTTTGTCCCAATTCAAGTCGTTTTTTTTTTGTGAGACACAATTTTTTATTTTAGAATACACTTCTGCGAGCATTATCGATAAATTTACATCTCTATGTGAAATTATCTAATATTAGGCCGACCGAGAATCGAACTCGGGATCTTATTTACGCAAAGTAATTTGCCTACCACTGGTCCAGGGAAATGGAATTGTCAGTAATGGGATCTACTAGACTCATACTCTATCAGTTCGACCTCCACGCGGTTCCCCCTGGAAACCATCATGGTTCATTTTAGAAGAATTCATCACTATGGGCCAACTGACCTACTTGATCCTCACTCAGTACAGGCAGGATTACCATTCCATTATCATCCATAAAAAAGAAAAAAAAAACTGGTCCACGTAGATTGTTGTCACAATTGGAGTTAAACTTACCCAGAAACTCCTTCCTCAACTGCTGATGCAGAGCAGCGAACTCCCTATATCTCCTGCTGCACAGGTGCCTCCCGGCCATGTGCACGTTGAAAGCGATGTACGACCTTCCCGTATTCCTCTCCATGACGACACGGTAGTCCGGTATGGAGACCGGGAGCGATCGTTTGTCCGTGTAGTCGTACCGCTGGTAGACGGTCGCCCGGGAGTTCGCCGCGCCCCCGATGACGCCGACAGGGGCGGAGCCATCGTCGCAGGGCTCTAAACGTTCCGCCTCCTGTACATAATACAAGTTTTATTGCTGATAACCGGAGAGACAGCCAGAGAGAGACGAAACCCGTCTGCATGGATATCTCTGTCCCAACAGTGGGAAAGGGGTTTTATTAATCGGGTCTCACAGCTTCATTTCCAACAATATATCCGCAAGACTTTTTATGTGTATTGGTTGTTACCTATAATTAGATAGTTTCCGACTGACGGATCATCCGATTTTTGAGGCATTACATATTAAATAAAAAAAATTAAAAAGTCAAAATGAGAGCTCACGGTTTAGGATGGAGCACATTGAAGCCAATTAGATATAATATAGTTTTTTATACAACTTAGAATGGCAAACAAGCTGACGACCCACCTGATAGAAAGTGGTGGCCGTCACCTATAGACATAAGCAGTACCACGGACATAACAGAATATACCGTTTCGCCCATAAATCCATTTTACCGAAGCATTTGGCGTTCCATTGTTTCTGCCTACCCTAATGTGAGACAGGCGTGACATATATGTGTGTATGTACGAGTACATATAATAAATCAGTTGCCTCGACAAGAGAAAACTGGATTTGAAGTTATCAGATAGAATACCTATCTCAGGCACCAGTCTTTCACAATTATAATTTAATTACTTTAATATAAGCATGTCTTTTTTTATGCAACTTAGAATGGCAAACAAGCTGACAGTCCACCTGATGGAAAGTGGTAACCGTCGCCTATAGACATGAGCAGTACCATGGACATAACAGAGTACACTGTTTCGCCCATGATACTCCCATGATGATAAGCATATCTTATTGTATTTCACTGTGATATTTCATTACGTGAAGAGAAAATAAATCGATTATTATCAATTTTTTATCAAAAAAATCCACTAACTTCTTTCTACTTCTACTGATACTTTTGCATGTTATCACATACCCTTGGCGTGACAGAGATGACTGTCAGAGTGAGACAGTCGCCTCCTGACTTGATGAGATCGACCACCTGCCTGTGTGTTGAGCCTTCCACGTTCACGCCGTTACTGTAACAAAAGAGATAAATTATTGCCATATTATGTGAATGCTGTTTTGAAAATAATTTAATTATATAATTCTAAGATAAAGCATACAAGCAAGGAGTTACGCACACAAGGATAAACTGTCAATATAAATGTTGAATGAAAACAAATAGTTGTTGTTGTTTTAAAATTCGTTCAAAATGGACAGGCAAAGAGCATGGCTCTTACAGCCTAGTCATAAGTTATTACCAGTTCTTAATAAATGGGGAGAAAATTATTTCATATGTTAAAATACATAAATTTTCATAGCAATTGTAACTACCAAACGTTCGAGTTCTTCATGAATTCACTTCTTCTCATATGAAGTAATCGCCATATAAAAAAAAAATACTGAATTCAGTAATTAGTGGTTATTTATTAAGCTCATAATTTTATTATTTTTCAATTACAAATAAATTATTTACGGGTAAAAACTAGAAGATAAGAATTTTTTTTATACAATTTAGAGTGGCAAACAAGCTGACGGCCCACCTGATGGAAAGTGGTAACCGTCGCTTATAGACATGAGCAGTACCATGGACATAACAGAGTATACTATTTCGCCCATGATACCCCCCATGCGTTGCCATTCCTGAGGACTCAGGTGTTATTTCTCTGTACCATGTAAATTCACGCCATATCCCACTCTTCAAACCGAAACACAGCCATGCAAACACAACTGCTTTACGGTTGAAACACGAATGGGACAGAGGTACCCAAGCAAACAACTTTTGTACAAAGTCTCCCTCTGGTAATTGTAAGCATGTCGAAATTAAATATGAAAGAAATACACCAGCCATTGATTTTCTAATAGGTTTAATTAGTGCGGCCATATTGTACATAATTTATTCGATTACATAATGCGTAACATGAAATAGTCGATTGCAGATAAGTCGCCTTGTATTTCATTGAACGAAATTATATACAGATTCATTATATACTTACATAATTAAATATATATTTCTACATGTTCCTGATAATGTGATGTTTATTTTTTGTATTATAATTTACATAATGGATAAATAAGATAGTATTATTGATACCTATGTAGTTTTCAAATATTTGTCGTATTTAAGTGATAGACTTAGTATAACGTATTTAATTGTTTTTAATTCTTTTTATTATTTTTTTTATTTTTATTATTAAATTATTATTATTATTAATTGTTTATATTGTAATTTGTGTGCTGTAAGTAATATAAATAAATTATCTATCTATCCATTAAATTGGTGACCCTATAAATAAATAAATAAATATATAACGTATAAAAGTATATAGACAAATTGCCAAATATTTCCTTATTCTGCAATATAATTAAGTACATTGTCGAAATATTAAATTATCAAAAAAATATGATTCATGAAGGGAAAAGTTAAAACCATGAAAGAAAGAGAAAAACTAAAATGTAAAACAAAATGAAATTATGATTTTGATTCCCAATATATAAATAGTATATAATTTTTCTTATTTAAGAGTTCCCTCTTGTCGGTGCAAATAATTCATGCATTCTGTTCCAGCCAGCTCTATTCCAGACCATATCTTTGACCTTTCTATACGACATGACGCCTAGTGTTTCCTTTATCTCTTTCATGTTGTTATTTTTCAGTCTTCCCCTTCTTCTTTTACCCTTTATTTTCCCTTCTAGAACGCTCTTTAAAAATCGACATATTGATATATTTATCACTATTGTACTATATACAATACGTTATATATTGTACGATATACTATTGTATAATAGATATACATTTATTAAGTAATAAAAAAATTATGTTACAGAACCAAAATGCAGTATTTAAACTGGCCAATTTTAACTAAGCAATATGGGTCGAAATGTCATCTAATTTAAGATAGGTAGATAGACAGATACACTTTATTGTTTCCTCTAAAAGATTAAAACATAAACTTATTCTAAATATAAACAATTACAATAAATAATTCACAATGGGAAAACAATGGGCGAGCTTATCGCTAAAAGCGATCTCTTGCAGGCAACCTTTGGATGGAGAGGAGTAATTGTAAAGTTTGTTCGGAGGCACGATGAAAAACTCTGTTATCTCTTAAGCGTAGTATTAGTGATCAAGATGCTTGTTGTTATTATCAATTTGTCTGTATCGAACACCAGTTCGCACAATCAGTGGGATTAAAATAGATCATGGATCATAGAGATAATAGTAATTCATCTACTGGCGCCGTCTGTTATGAAATCAATCTGGTTATTGCGTATATCAGAAAGCAAAACATTTGTGAATTTATTAGTGCAAAGTATACTATTTTTTTTAAGCAATTTAGAATGGCTAACAAACTGACATGAGCAGTACCATGAACATAACAGAGTATACTGTTTCGCCCATGATATTCCCATGCGTTTTTTCGATGGGTGAAAATAGTATGGTAACTCCGCCTGCGCTAACGGGATACGCTGGCGGAGCACCAGTGAAGGGTGATAGATGAGAATGAAAACAGGCCAGTTAGCACATCATGACGAATTCATCAAGAATTAACCATGTTAGTTTCCAGGGAGAACCGCGAGGAGGTCGACCTAGTTGGGTATATTGCTAGCAATGGGATTCTCAGTCTCCATCACTAACAATCCCTTTCCCCCATCCCCATGCGTTGCCATTCCCGAGGGCTCAGGTGTTATTCCTCTGTACCTTGTAAATTCACCAGGTCTCGTTCTTATCGTTTCAAATTTTTCCTTTAATTTGCATCTTAATCAAAACGTTTTACATGAATTTCGTAAATACACATTTTTTTTTTAATTAATAAAAAAGGAACAACCTGGCCAGTACTATCGGTATAAGCTGGATGACTCGTGATGGATGAAAACAGGTCGGCTTGCTCATAGTGACAAATTCTTTATTTATTTATTTATTTTTATCTTTATTTTTTATTGTATACAAACATACTGATAAGAACATTTAATTTTAAACGCAATGTACAAAGGCGAGCTTATCTCTAATAAGAGATTTCTTCTAGCAAACCTTTTCATGTGAATTAAATTATAAAATTTAATTAATATAAAAAATATAAAAATTTATTATTAAATTCATCAAGATTAATCACGTTGGCTTCCGGAAAGAACCACGTAGAGGGCGACCTGGTAGCGTATTGTATTAGTAATAGGGCCGCTAGTCCCCATTAGTAACAAACCCTTTTCCTCTGTATATATAGTATTTGACATGGAGGACTTTTTATCCTGAACAATCAATAAGTCTCAGCAGCACAGACAAAGTCATGGCCATTGCTAGTAATACAATTTCTCGGCAAAGCATTTTTTATTATATATACAAAAAGATAAAGGGGGGAAGCGATTGTTAGTAACAGGGATTTTTTTTTAATGGGTGATAATGGAATGGCAACCCCACCCGCGCTATTGGTATACATCGGCGGGGCACCAGTGAGTGATGATAGATGAGGATGAAGCAGGTCAATTAGCCCATCGTGACGAATTCAACAAGAATTGTTCACGATGGTTTCCAGGGGAACCACGTGGAGGTCGACCTAATAGGGCATATTGCTAGCAATGGGGCTGTCAAACTCCATTGCTAACAATCCCTTTCCCCACAAACCACTGTGGTTGAATCCTGGGCAATTCATTATGATGAGCTAATTTATCTGACTTCATGCTCATCTATCACTATTCACTGGTACCTCTTCAGGGTACATCGATAGCGCAGGTGGAGTTACCATATATCAAAAAAGAAATTAAATACAATAAGACAGTTTACCTGTCGGCGGCGGCGGCGGCGGCGGCGGAGGCGGCTGCAGCAGCAGCTTCCGCTTCCTCAGGTGTCTCCAAATCATAAATCTCGAATCCGGTGGCAGGGCAATAATAAAAAGTATAGCGGAAGTCCCCCACACCGCCCCTTTGGACTGACATCTTAGAAGCCTCGCGTATACCTCACTCACCATTGACACGAAACGTTCAAAAGTAAAATTTAACTTTTTCGGTAAAAAAAAAAAAAAAAAACTAATATCTCTGATACCTTTGCCGCGATTTAAATTATAACGTCTTCTCGATTCGAATTTCGTTTTTAAATTAAGAACTGCTCGGTCCCGCTTTTGCTTTTATAGAGAATGTGTGGACAGGAATATGATCTAATAGCTTCTATTTAGTAATGACATTAGATATCTAACTTTAACAAAGTTATTTATAAACAAACAAATTATAATAATGCGCAATTAGAATCCGTTGATGACAAAGTATTCAACCCGATTTAAGACTAAAGCAACTTAATGTGCCAATGCATATTTATTCAGTACGAGCGTTTATCCAAAATTTTATCCTGGTGATCGGGATAAAAATTAGCCTGTGTTTTCTCGATCTCATAAAGTACATATGTATCAAACTTCATAGTGATTGGTTAAGTCGTTAAGGTGCTACAACTAAACATACTCACTTTCACATTCATAATATTAGTAAGGATGAATCCTATTTAAAGAGTCTGATCACAAGAGTGTCTAATGGGTAAACAAACGGTTCAGAGAAATATTCAGCGTTTTGAATAAATATGCATTGAATACATATTTTGTACACAAATTTAGGAAAAAGCTTATTCCTGCAGAAATTCCTGAACAAATCTGAATTAGATGAAGAAATTTTAGAAGAATAAAAAATATCATTGTGAAGTTAGGATAATGTTACTTTTAGAATTTACCCAGAAAATTATTTTTAGTTAAATTTAAAAATAATTCGCGTCTGGCATGGTAACCTTGGAAGGTCCTTCATTCGCAGAGAAGGGATTGTTAGTAGTCCCATTGCTAGCAATATACCCTATTAGGTCGACCTCCACGCGTTTCTCCCTGGAAACTATCGTGATTAAGTTATTGTTGAATTTGTCACGATGGACCAATTTAACTGCTTCATCATCATCTATCATTCGTCACTGATACGCAGGCGGGTTAACAATTCCATTATCGTCCATTAAAAACAACTCTGGAAGGATTGTGACTAATAGAATGTATTCATCTTTGGGGACTAAATCGATCTCTCATATCATATATCATTTTTAGCGACAACTACAAAAACATTGCACGTAATCAATGGATTTTTTTATACAAGTTAGAACGACAAACTAGCTGACGGCCCACCTGATGGAAAGTGGTAACCGTCGCCTATAGACATAAGCAGTACCATGGACATAACAGAGTCTACTGTTTCGCCCATGATACCCCCCATGCGTTGCCATTCCTGAGGAGTCGGGTGTTATTCCTCTGTGCCCAGTAAATTCACGCCATATCTCCACCCTTCAAACCGAAACACAGCCATGCAAACACAACTGCTTCACGGTTGAAACATGAATGGGACAGAGGTACTCAAGCAATCGACTTTTGTACAAAGTCTCCCTCTGGTAAAGGTGGATTCGGATCACTCCTTACGACAAACTCAGAGTAAGCTCTTCAGTGAGCAATTAACGGGTGAAATTGATTTATTTTATCTAAAAGGATATACTTACAGATTGGTCATATAGAAATTTCATCAAAATCGGTTCAGTAGTTTAACTTTCTAAATCAAAATAACTGTTTTAGCCACGATTGAAGTCGGTTTTTTGTAAAACACAATTTATTGTACTTGTTGAAAATCATGTGGGCCGAGTCCTTCCCGAGTACGATTGATATACGAAACGGATCCAATGCGTCCACATTACCGGGAGTACAGCGTCGATAACAGCAAACTAGGTTGGCTATTTGGATCACAATGCAATCATAATTATTTAAACACTGAACGTCGTAAGGATAAAAGTCCTGGTTACTGGTAAACACTGGTTTGATGTCTACATTTGAGGTGGAATGAGACTAAACGAACGAATCATTGTTCTTCTATACTGTTCCATTTTTGCATGATTGCGCGAAAAACATTCTTGTTTTTTTTTTTTTTACAACGCAGAGGGCAAACGAGCATGCGGCTCACCTGTGTGTGTGTGTGGCGGGTTGTACGGTGGTGAAAATCAGCAGCAGGTATCAGTCTGAACAATTCCTCAGAACACTTCCCATGATAAATTCAGTAGAAGATGCACAGAGATGCAACATGTCTGCGCAGTTTCAGTGGGTCAAGTCGGACACAGTAAGGCGTTGACTATCAATAGTTCGAACCGCCCGACTTTGAATGCGGTCTAACGGAAGGAGTTGATACTGTGGCGTTCCTGCCCATAGGTGAGAACAGTATTTCATATGCGGCCTGACTTGAGCTTTATATATATCTTGTGCTTAGTTTAAGGTTTTTTATATAATTAAACTAATATCCCATTTTATACCTCTTTCAATTTTTAGTTAATACATGCTTAGGTTTTTTATTAATTTAAATAGTTGTATTCCACTTCAGCAACGTGAATCTGATTGAAAACATATTATTTCTATGTCTAGGTTATGTTCTATTTGTGTACCGAATTTCATTCAATTCTATCTAGCCGTTGAGGCGCAATTCAGTACCAAACATTAAACAACTTTTAAAAATGTTTAATTTCTGAAATGGTATCTGAAAGGACCAATCTATGTTAATTTTTTTATACAACTTAAAATGGCAAACAAGCTGACGGCCCACCTGTTGGAAAGTGGTAACCATCGCCTATACACATGAGCAGTACCATGGACATAACAGAGTATACTGTATCGCCCATGATACCCCCCATGCGTTGCCATTCCTAAGGACTCAGGTGTTATTCCTCTGTATATAACCTTTCAGATAAAAAAAAAAGAATTTTCCAAATCGGCGTAAAACTGACTGAGTTATGAGGTAACAAATTTAATAAAACAATACAACCGAATTTGTGAATCACCTATCTCATGTCTATTTAAAAAAAAAAAAAACCTTTAAAATCTCTATAAAAACTATCAAAAACGAACTATGCTATATTGGAAAAAGGATAATCTAGACCTTGGTTGGTTTTACTTCTGTTTAAGCTCCTGATCAGTCTCCCTTTAGTCTAATTCCATCTTTACATGACACGTTTAAATGGTGTGATACTTTAAAAAATAAATATAAAGAGAGCATATCGGTATGTACTAAGTGCAGGGTCCAGTATGCTTTACAGTATAGAGAGGTCTATTTGATAAGGGACAGTAAATGACTGAAATCATCTCAGGAAATGATAACGTTATCGATAATATTTGACAAATAGAAGTACATTTTGTTTTGAAAAAATAAAAACAACAATAATCTGTATTTATGTTACTGTATTTCACTTGAATTGTTCACTTGTCATTGTATATTTTTGTTTATGGTGCAATAAAGAGTTAAATAAATAAATTTAATTTATTGCAAAACCAGTGATATTCTTTACGCAACTTAGAATACCAGAAAAGCTGACAGTCCACCTGATGGAAAGTGGCAATTGCTGTCTAGCTATAAATATAAGAACCATAACATATTTGGAACAAGGAATGGATTGTTAGCAACGGAGATTAGCCATTGCTAGCAATATGCCGTTAGGGCGACCAAGAGGTCGCAGTTTTATCTGGCCAATTCCTAATAAAAATGAAGTCCTACTGTAATAGTCCAAAGCAACGATATTTTAACATTTTTAATATTTCGAAACGGTATACATTTTGTAATTTTAACATCAAATTTGTGTTTCGTTCGATCTTGAAATTTCGGAAAATATTTCATGGTAGACACTCTGATTATAATATGAACGATATAACATGTACGTCTGAACTGCAGCAACATAGATTTTGTTTAGTTTGTATATTAATCAACCTGACTTTATGTACACTCAATGTTGTAGTTTCTCTCATACATACACTTACATTACTTACATACACCCACTCTAACTTTCCTACCTTGCTTCGGATATATAATTTTCGTTTATATAATTGAAATCCGTTATTGGCTGTATTTATAAGAGACTTAGCATGTAAGTCTATAGGCGACGGTTACCACTTTTCATCAGGTGGGCCTTCGGATTGTTTGCCATTCTAAGTTGCATAAAAAAAATTGTATTAAATAAATAAATAATGAACACCACAAAATTCCCGTTTGCAAAAGCTTCGAATTACTCAGCGAGCTATGGAGAAGGATTTGCTCGGAGTCTCTTTGCGTGACAAAATCCGAAACGAGGACATCCGTAGAAGAACCAAAGTAACCGACATAACCCGAAGGATAAGCAAGCTGAAGTGGCAATAGGCTGGTCACATAGCTCGAAGAACCGATTAGAGGAAGAAAGATTCTTGAGCGGCGACTTCGTACGAGCAAACGCAGTATACGACGTTCCCACATTAGACGGAGTGACGACCCCAAAAACATTAGTGGAAGCAGGTAGCTTGGGTCCGTTCCTTATGGCAGTCTATTGAGAAGACGTATGCTCAGCACTGGATATATAATAGCTTAAATGACGATGATGACCAGAGAATTCACTGTGATGCTCCTTCATCATATTAGCCTCTAACTGTCCACTGCAGAACATAAGCATTGGGGGGTTTTGCCAGTAGTTGCCAGGCTTGGCAGGCGGATTCGCAACCGCAGTCAGGCTTTACAAATGTTTTAAGATGTACGCCCATCCCTCGCCTTCCCTTAGTCGCCTCTTACGACACCCATGGGATAGGAATGGGTGGCTTATTCCTAGCCGGGACCATACGGTCACTTTATGCCCTTTATGAATGGGGGAAAGGGATTGTTAGTAATGGGGTCTAATTGACCCATTGCTAGCAATTTATCCTATCAGGTCGACCTGCACGCGGTTGACCCTGGAAACCGTCGTGGTTAATTCTAGTAAAATTCGTCACGATGGCCTAACTGACCTGCCTTTTCAACCTCACCCGTAATCCCTCACCGGTGCCCCTTCAGCGTATCCCAATAGCGCAGGTGGGGTTGCCATTCCATTATCACCCATTTAAAAAAAGTCCCTTATGAATTGCCATTCCTGAGAACTATCTTTAATTTTACTATCACATTAAATGTAGTTAGTAAAAGAAAATCCCTTATAATACACTCAATATAGGTAAGTTTAGACACTATCAGTCTGGCCTAATACATTCAAAACTGGGGTAAACAGATTAATTATGACAACAAAAAACCTACTGATTGTGCAATACACGCGTTGCATTGCTGATAGCTGCATATTTGCCCCCTTTAATGTGTTAGCTCATGTAATTAATGATATTAATGACAAATGATTGTGTATTGAAACGTGTTGTAATTCTTAAACGCATCATACACACATGCGGAAAGAATAAAAGAATTTACCAAAGGGAGACTTTGTACAAAAGTCGATTGCTTGAGTACTTCTGTCCCATTCGTGTTTCACCCGTGAAGCAGTTGTATTTGCATGGCTGTGTTTCGGTTTGAAGGGTGGGATATGGCGTGAATTTACTGGGTACAGAGGAATAACATCTGAGTCCTCAGGAATGGCAACGCATGGGGGGTATTATGGGCAAAACAGTATACCCTGTTATGTCCATGGTACTGCTCATGTCTATAGGCGACGGTTACCACTTCCCATCAGGTGCACCTTTAGCTTGTTTGCTATTCTAAGTTGTATAAAAAAAAAGTATACTAATCTGTCTTCATCTATTAAAAAAATATATATATTGACAATACTTTTGCAATCAATAGGGTTTATGCTCGTGTTGGTCCCGTATTTATTTCATGACAATTGCAGTGATGTGTAAAGAACTCAAATCACCATATGTCGTAGTTTCATATCTGAAGCCACGATGCTGATTTTCTGTAGGCCCCGTGAGAGAGAAAGAGGGAGGCTATACGAGATTCACGGACACGCTGTTGCAACTGATATTACCTTTTTTTTTTTTAAACTTCTTATTAAGCAGTAAAGTCTACTTTTAAATAAATCCCGCATTTAAGTACAATAATAAATTCAAATATCTTTAATTTTTGTCTACGAAACATCTTGTAGTTCATACGTGTCTATTAAGATTGAAGTCGCCGTTTTTTGCACCCTATCAAGACGACCTCCATACGGCCACATGGAAACTATTATGGTTAATTACTAATGAATTATACACGATGGGCGAATTGAGCTGACGTCATCCACGTCTTTCAACCCGTTTGGTACTGCTTGTGTAGGCTAATAGCGTAGAAGGGTCACCATTACATTTTCATTCATTAAAAAAAAGGCTGCAATCTTTGGTAGGGGGGAAACGGATTGTTAAGCTCTATTACTAGAAATAAGCCTTATTAGGTCGACCTTCATATAGTTCTCTCTGGAAACCATCGTGACCAATTCTTGAAAACTAACAGACCTACTTTCATCCTCACTTATCATCCCACACTGATGCCGATGATGATGATGTATTAGCATTCCATTTTCATCCATAAAAAACCGTTTTCCGTAGACATACACAAATTTAAAAATTCGTGTAATTATATATAAGTGAATAACGGACTTAATAAGGAATAATATTTGTTATTTATTTAGGCTGAAATAACAATAGCCGAACCTAAATCTTTATGTAAGAATCGAGGGCGTTAGCATTCAGTCCTTTTGATCTCGTAAAGGACTGGCGTCAACGTAATAGAAACGGATTTTATTGGCGGGAAGTTTTTGGTCACATAAATCGGTTTCAATGTTGGTAGTGACGCTGTGGCAACTCTTCAGCGTAAAATTCGTAGAACTACAGTCTCACGTTTTTGTATTATAAAAAAAATGGCACGATTAAGAAAAAAATTGGATTTTTAATGGGCAAATTTAAAATTGGATACTTAGTCAAGGTGTACAATGGCGGGGCACAAGTGTGGATGAGAGTGCAGTCAGGTAAGTTTTTTTTTTTTTTTTATACAACTTAGAATGGCAAACAAGCTGACGGCCCACCTGATGGAAAGTGACAACCGTCGCCTATAGACATGAGCAGTACCATGGACAGAACAGAGTATACTGTTTCGCTCATGATACCCCCCATGCGTTGCCATTCCTGAGGACTCAGGTGTTATTCCTCTGTACCCAGTAAATTCACGCCATATCCCACCCTTCAAACCTAAACACAGCCATGCAAACACAACTGCTTCTCGGTTGAAACACAAATGGGACAGATGTACCCAAGCAATCGACTTTTATACAAAGTCTCCCTCTGGTAAAATGGATCTGCAAACCATGTTATTAACTCATTAGTACCTCGCTTGCATACACCGATAACAAAGGTCGCGAGAGGTGCCATTTTTATTTTCACAAAAAATAACAGTCTGCAGTTTGAATAGAAAAATACTATATTGGTTCATAGTAATATGATTTACATATAATACATAATTGAATAAACAAGTTCTACGGTATTGAGTTTACTGAAGCCATACATGATCTTGTTTTACTATTTGTACTGAACATATTATATTATGGCAAAACCCTCGAATAGGGTGGAGGGGGGGCTATGTTTAACAGTGAACAGCTTATATGATGATGATGACATTATATTACACTAGCTTTTTGCCCGTTACTTCATACACTTAGATGTTAAAAGTAGAAAAACGAATGATATAAATTACACAAAGGCATATCGATATGGAATATACACCAGATGTTAAGTTAAATATTTGGGAACACAAAAGTGAAAACCGTATCCAATTTGATACAGTAGTTTTTGTATGATGCCGAAAAAAAATTAAGACAAAAGACAAAATTTCTGAAGAAGCAAAACATATTCTAGATTTCTATCGTTCTCTCTCTTTTTTTTTTGCATTTGCACAAATTTTCAAAGGCCTAATGTATGTTTAATTTTTCTCTGTCTCTTTTTATCAGATGCTTTTAGGTGTGACTGATATGTACGTATGTGTGTATATGTAATATTAGACTTTGAATATATTTTATTAGGTAACAGATGTTGTCATATTATTAACATAATGAATCTTGCATAAGAGTGTGGGCAGACTAGTCTATATTTTTTTTTTATGTTTATTACTTAAAATGATAACTATCCCCTACAGACGATAAACAGCAGAAATAACATGACAAAATATACTGTGACACACTGTGCGGTGAGAAATCGGAATACATGGAACACTTGATGTGCAACTGCGATTTGTTGGCAAGTATGCATATGAATCTACTGGGAACAGCTAATGCAGAGCCAGGGGACTACAGATATCTTAAACTGCGGGATATTGTTGATGTAACATATAGGATCTATAAAATGATGGTATAAAGCAGGGGGAAGCACAAAAGATCTTGATAGGTCAACATGCAACGGCTTAGCTGACCCCATATGCAAATAAAATATAACATACTGTGACACCCATAGTATTTATTCTTAATGCATTAAGAATAAATTAGGAATATAGTGTTATACCAACTGCTTCCAATAGCATACCCAATGGTCTATTTACAAATAGGTTTAGTTTAGTAGGCTGGATGTTAAGGTGGTACATTTTAGAGGTGATGAATTTAAAGCAAATTTTTTTTATTCAAGTAATTTCATTTACAAAAAACAATTGTAAATAAAATGATTATAAACTAAAGTACTGATTCATAGAGGTCAATAGGGATGACAAAATTTGAATACTAGCTGGCAGCAAATGTATACCAGCCACTGGCCATATCTGAGCTTGTTACTTTTTCATTCCAATATACAGCCATTTAAGCACAGCTGTTTGTTGGCTGAATCATGATTGAGACTGAGGCACTCATGTAAAGAACTTTATTCACAGTTTAATTTTAACTTTCTTTTATTAAGCAGTTTTAGAATAATGTATATAATAAAACTTATTGTTATGGATATATCTTGTCAGATTTTATTTTGTTGTTTTGTACAAAATATTTCCAATAATCTAATTAAAATATATTTATGAAAACAATAAATTCAATAAAAAAACAAAAGAAAACAGATTTTTAAAAAGACATTTTATAATATTATATTAAAAGCATGGAAAATACCCTTATGTGCACTAACAATGACTGATTGATCTATCAATGCACAACCTGTTGTGGTTAGAAATTTGTAATTTTTTATAGAGTTTATAAATTGTACATCCCTAAAGATTTCACAAATATTCCACAAGAACTGAAGATAAAACATTTCAGGTGGACAAAGCTGCAGTAAACAACTAGTATATAATATACAAGACAAAATGTCCAGTACAGTCAAATTGTATCTGTTAGTAAGTATATTTTATGAATATCTACACTCACATAGGTATAAAAGAAGTAAAAATATCTAATCGTAACTCGTTCTAATTTCAAATTGAGCACTTGTAGGCAATACAAAAAACAAGTTTTAGCATGATTCATACTTATGTAAATCAACTTTTGTAAACTTATTTGGAGCAATGCAACGGCACTTTCTGGAAGCGCCAACATAGCTCGCAACCGAGTTTCACGTAAATAACCGGCGGGAAGTGCGTTGCTAGGTTGAATATTACAAACAATACGGGAAAAGTCTACGTAAGTTACGACCGCGGATACCACATTGATCAGTCAAACTGTACATTAAATGAGTACTTACACTTCGAGGATCCTGTCTCCTTTCCTGATACCAGCCAGCTCTGCTGCTCCTTGCTCCAAAACAGCGCTGACGTGCTGCAGAGGAGCATAAAGTTCCCCATTAATCGATCTAAGCTGCCCACCCTCAGACACTTGCCCGCGAACATTGAAACCAAAACCAGTCTCTGTTTTATAGATAGTAACGCGCCGGGGTCCATTATTAGGCACTAGGCTTCTATTATTTCTTTCAGGTCTAATAATACTGTTATTATCGTTTTCTGTCTCAGCCATTTTGCTAACTTTTACCACAGATTCATTTTGATTTGACATTCACATTCAGTGTCGCCATTTATAAAAAAAATAATGATAGAAAGATGCATTCAAATCTTGAATAAATTCTAAATGATGTAATTACTTTAAATATATACTAACGGTAAGAAGTAAAAATTTGATTCTTAAATAAATTGTTACGGTTAAATATAAATAAATAAATAAAAATATGGTTATAAAATGAAATTTGCAAATAAAAGAAATGGTTTTATACAAAACAATAATATTCTTCGTCAATAAAAATGTTCACTGCCATCTAGTAATATCAAAAGTTACTAAATTGTGTAACTATGATAAAACAGCATACCATTTCCCCCGCTACTTTGATAGATGGCAAGGGTATCGAAACAACGTGGTATAAGAAAAATCCAACTTCTTTCACATCAAAATCAGCTGTGAACATCAGTATGGCCGCTCAAATAAGTGAAAAATAAATTTTGTTTTTGATAAATCATACAAAAAAATAGGAAAGTGCAGTTTTCGTACTTACATCGTACAAACGTGATTAGAAAAATTAGTGTCGGTGTTGATGTTGACTAAAAGTGTTGCGTCATGACAGAAACCTCTCACTGACAAACAAATACAATAAAAATTGCGACTTGCATATTACGGCAACTTAGTGTAATTTCTATTCGGCTCGTGCGTCGTTATTTTCGCGATTCGGGGAGGCCGATGTTATTATTTGTGAATCGTTATCCCGCGGTATAATGAGTACTGTAAGATTGAGTATCGTGTCTGTTGGAAGGATCGCAGTAAGGAGAAATTCGCATTTGACATCAAGTGAGTGGATCTTTCGTTTTTCTTATTATTATTTTTTTATTGTTGTACTGGCCGAGTTCCAACATTATGTCGCAGTTTTGCCGTGCCCGTAGTAACCTATTGACGGATCGAGTTATCACTGCCTGTTTGATAACAAAGCGTGGGTTCATCGTAGGCAGTTGCTTTATTTAGTATTGGATATGGCCGGAACGTGTTACGAGTTACGATGGTCAATTTATCCATCGGACCATTAAAGCGAAGTTCATATCTTTAGCAAGGTCATGGACACTACAAGCTTGACACTGAACCAGATCTCATCACAGACTATATGACTTAATGTCACTGACATAATTTTATTATGCATTTAATTATGTATATAAAATGTATGTACAAAAAATTGCTATTTGTTATGTCTATAATATTTTTATTTCTGTTCCTATACTTCATGCAATAGTTATCTAATAATTTTTAACAAATTTTATTATTTATATCTTAAATTCACATAAAATCCTATCTACAGTTTTGCATTGTATTGAATATTTAACAAAAATGAATGGAAATGCTCAAAGACAACTAAATAATTTTATATGAGAAATAATATTAAAACCCGAGAACAAAATTTTACTAAAACAATTTCACTTTGGTCTCTGTGTCTCTTACATATTAGGTATAAAAGATTGCATGTATTGATATATTTGATATCATTCATTTTATAACTGATTATGTAGGTATATACTTATCTATGTTTTGTTTATTATTATATTGATAATAAGTAATTTTTGTTTATTTGGATCTTTCTGGTCTTTTCTTGCTTTAGACATATTTTTGGTTTCCTTTCATGTAACAGTGTGTAATGTTGTTCACTACATCTTTTACTTATTATATTTCACAATATTATCATTTTATTTTATTTTATTTATCATAATTTTATATAGATGTAAAGATTTCAGTGGTTTTTATTGAAACTAATTTATTTATTTCTGAAATCGAATTCTGTTGAGATGCGAGCTATTTATGTATTATACTCAGAAACCAAAGACATATAATATATATATTCTGTTTTTTATTATTGTTAAAATCTGTGAAAAAATTCCATAGACAAATATATAAAATGGTCTACTGGATTATCTAAATTTATTGATATATATATATATATATGAGTAAATATATATATATATATATATATATATATATATATATATATATATATATATATATATATGCATAAAAAAAAGAAAACAGTCTTACCTGTATCATCAAAAATAAATAATTTTTTTCGCTTTTCACTTCAGGCATAAATAATATAATACAGTATATTAAGGTGTCCCATTGCTGTTATCAAAGAGTGAGGATGAGACAATTCGACTAAGTGCACCAAAATAGGAAAAAAAAAATAATTTACTGGTGGACAGATGATGAAGTAACTATGTTCATCAAATCTTAGTCAAAAATTGAAATAAGGGATTTTGTTCATATAAATAAGTAAGATCATTCACCAGGACACTCCTGGAGAGATGCTAAGTTGACTACAGACAGTACTTGTGATCACTGTTGTCTATAAATATGATGCTCAGACTGTTAATTATCTGGTACAAATGGTACAATAATATGGTATGATCACTATTGTATATCCCATCTGACTGTGTTTTAACAGTTTTGAAGTCAATTGGTAGCTAAATATGAAATAGAAATTTAAGTAGGTAGGCTGCACCATTGTACCACTCATTATCAGTAGGGAATCTGTCCTCACACCTTAGAATCAGAGTGGTCACGCACAGTGTGGTTTCAGAAGAGCTGCCTTCCACGAAATATATAAATTTTAAATCTTATAATAAGATATCAAAGAATATTTTGAATCTACCTTTTAATAAATATAAAACTGTTATTAAAAAGCACTTATTGAACAAAACCAATTACACTCTTAAACGATTATTTAAATTACAAGTGTGCATGGTGTTAGTCAATCATGCATGGGCTTTTTAACGACCATGTGATTTTAGACATGTACATTTAAATAAATACACATAATGTTAACAGAGATTTAAAAAAGTAACTGTTGAGTTTCTTGCGGGCTCCTCTCAATAAATAACAACTTTCCGAACCCTACAATAGATAAAAAAAAATTATGATTTAAAAGTACTTGGAAAAGTCCTTTTGAATTCGAACACTCAGGTTGTGGAATGATCTTCCTGTTTAGGCTTTCACTGGAGATTACAGCATGGGGTTCTTTGAAAAAGGAGTATTAAAATTTTTTAAAGGTCGCCAACGGGCCGGATACATTTAGTTTTTTTACCGTCAGACGGGCCGTATGCTTGTTTGTCGCCATAGTAGTGTAAAAAATGAGCTATTATTGTACATACTATGCAGTATCACCTTCTCTTCTAAAAATTTCCACAACTATATTATATAATCAAATATCATGGGCTAATAATAGAGTAGAATGTATTATATAAGCATTAAAAGGCATAGATAATAGTAATAATGCGTTCCACGTATCATATCAGCTATTAATTGTCCGCTGTTCAACAGGCTTCCCCCATAAGGGAGGTTTTGCTGATAGATGCCACGCTTGACAGGCGGGTTGGCAATCGCCTTTAAGCTTTTGGTCATGTTTTAAGAGGCACACTACTGTCTATCCCTCATCCATTATGTTCTCTTAGTCGTAACATCCACAGAAAAGAAGGGGCTACCCCTTCTTTTCCATTCAATGCCGGGACCATAGGGCAAACAACTGAATACTAATATGAGTACAAGTTTTTCATAATCACACCGATTGTTAGGTCCTGAAACTTTAGTATTATGTGGAATCAGGCAACGAAAATCTGAACGCAGCACCCAGATCTGAGCCAAATCTATATATATAGTATTTGTTTAATATTGAAAGACAGGCTTTGTCCAGACAGTAAAACCTGTGACCCTGCGACCTCTCCATGTTCTTTTGTACTCGCCCTTATTTAAAGTTCGCTGCTAATTCCTACCATTAATAACGAAAATCTGAACGCAGCGCCCAGAACACTCAGTTCTGAGCCAAATCTGAGGTATTTGTTTAATATTGAAAGACAGGCTTTGTCCAGGCAGTAAAACCTGTGACGCTGCGACCTTTCCACGTTCTTTTGTACTCGCCCTTATTTAATTTTTCGGAGATATTTTATGTATGTATAAGTGGGCTACTTCTGAATACTTTGTTTCCAAAATTGGCCCAACCAGAAAACGAAAATGGGACTTCGTTTTATGGAGGTTATCGTTAGATAAAAGGCTGGCAGTGCTTAACGAGATGCAATTGTACAGAGTATTTACACGTTTATAGCCAGGTCAGCGGCTCGCGAAAGCGTCGCAAATTACGCTTCGCTTTATTGTAGATAGGCGAGTAATTACGAGACCTCGTAAATAATTTCCCGTGCCTACTATTTATTTTTTTATTGTGCCTTCTATTAGCGCAAGTTCTAGAACCCTACTTTAGTTTGGCGGGAAGTGCGATGGTCGAACTATGGTGACGACATGAAGCCATGTAACATCTTAGAACACTCATTATATTTACATATGCTCACGAGTAATTCCTATAGACTAATATTTTTTTTTTATGCGACTTTGAATGGCAAACAAGCTGACGGACCGCCTGATGGAAAGCGGTAGCTGTCACCTATAGATATGAACACAGTCATGTTTGCATGTTTGTGTTTCGGTTTGAAGGGTGGGATATGGCAGTGAATTTACAGGGTACCGAGGAATAACACCTGATAGCAACGCATGGGGGGTATTATGAGCGAAATAGTATACTCTGTTATGTCCATGGTACTGTTCATGTCTATAGGCGACAGTTACCACTTTCCATCAGGTGGGCCGTCAGCTTGTTTGCCATTCTAAGTTGAATAAAAGAAAAGTCAATTACATCGAGACCAATTCATTGAACGCATATACATGATAGATATTACAGCATCGTGACGTCACAATACATCAATGAATGATAATTATAGGGTCATTCAAGTCGAACTACTTGAATAGTCCGTCCAGATTGAAGCATTTTATTTTTGTAGTTTGTTGCTGGGGTTTGTTGACACATAATGAAATGAAATTTATTGAAATAAAATGAAATTTATTTCGATTAATGTGGTAAATTTAGATAATAACATTTAGTCTTAACATTCAGCCAGCTTGGCGTGCAACATTTTTACATTGCTAACTAATACTTACAAGTTATATTAATACTAAAGCCACACCACTTACCAGAGGGAGACTTTGTACAAAAGTCGATTGCTTGAGTACCTCTGTCCCATTCGTGTTTCAACCGTGAAGCAGTTGTGTTTGCATGGCTGTGTTTCGGTTTGAAGGGTGGGATATGGCGTGAATTTACTGGGTACAGAGGAATAACACCTGAGTCCTCAGGAATGGCAACGCATGCGGGTATCATGGGCACCCGAATGAAGCCGGGGCGTGTCGCCAGTATTTAAATAAACACAAAAATACACGAGTATTGTATAAAAATAATCACTAACTATGTTTTGAATACACTAACGGGACTTAACGTACCTTTATAATTGAGGGTTTACCATGAAATAAAATTCCAAACTTTCAGACTCAATTTCGTGTTTTTGTTCATACCTAAATCGACTCAGTAAATGGAGCTTAACATTTCGTTCGTAATAAATCCTACTACAAAAGTCCAAAGGAACGATATTTTAACATTGTCAATATTTTTAAACGGTATGTATTAAGTTGGTATGTAATTTTAACATCAAATTTGTGTTTCGTTCGGCCCCGAAACTTCGAAAGCGTTTCATGGTAGGCCCTCTGCTTCTTTATTGCCGACTCTTCGATGACAAATTTTTTATCGCTTTAAGTTCCGATAGTGTATTTAAAATGAACTCTAAAGTTTAAGTATTTTTATAAAGTAATAAAGTTGTCCTTTAACTAAAGGTATTCTTACTTAACAGGGTACATAATTACATCTGTTTAAATATTTACCAACCACATTATGGAATGCAATAAGAAAATAAATAAATAATAAAATGTTTTCACATATT